CCGGAGCCCCGGGAGTTCCTGGCAGCCCGGGCCAGGGGCGCCGGATTCAAAAGCCAGTCGGCTGGGAGCCAGAGGGAGGAGACGGAACCCCGCCCGGGTGGTGATGTGGCCGTTGCAGCGAGCGGAGAACGCAGCGGGACCGGCAGGTGCTCCAGGACCAGCAGCGGAGGAACCCCGCGGCCGGAGAGGGTGAGTCTCACCCGCCGCCCTGCCAGACCAAGCGCGGCAGGACAGAACCGAAGGGGTCGGAGGAAGTAGCTCAGGACGGGGTCAGAAATCCCCGGGGACCGGTGAGTTGTGGCCATAGACCCCTGGTCGGGCGGTGCGTGTAGGACGCCCACCCTTAGGGTCCTGGGCTGGGACCTGGAGAGGGGGTGGGCCCAGGTCCACCTCTTCTCCGGTCGGTAACCAAAGAACTAATTGAGACAGCTGAATGTGACTAATCACTCCGATCCAGCGGGGCGGAACGTTACAGGGTCCCTTATTTCCAATGTTCAAGTTTTGGTAAAAATAACCTTTCATGTTTAAATAAAAAAATAAAAAGAGCAGTCACTTCTTCCTCTGCAGACTGGGAGCAATTAATGTAAAGTACAAGAGGGTACAAATGCCAAGCCTTCCACTGTTAAAATTAGAGAAAGGAAAATTACATCTATTGCTGGTTTTGTTAGCAGAGAAATTTATATCGTGCATTGGAAACATTTTGGCAGAAACAGCTGCAAGGTTTGTCACACCTACATGGCTTTTGGCTAGGGCCTGATTCAATTTCTTCTCTCAGACCATTTCTTCCTTTTCAAGAGCTGTAATGAATAGCCATCACTAATACATCAAGTGACGATTAAGGACAAGAAGGTATGACATTATGCTCTGATTTTGCATCTTTTCACCTCTCCGCACCAGGGCGGAAGCCAGGAGGAAAGAACAAGAGACAATGATTTGGACAGAGGTGTTTCCCCCTCTCTTTTTTATACAGGTGTCTGTACAGCACCTTGCACAACAGAGGCCTTGTATGTTTTACTGTAATACAAATAAGTCTAGTTGATACCAAGAGCAAAAAATTCTGAGAATAAAGCATATTCCATTACCACTAGGGAGACCAGGTCATGTGGCCCACTGCTATTTCATTCATCTTGCCCCTGAACACGGGTTTTCAAATAGTACTTTTCAAATTCAGGATCTCAAAATATGGGTCACCACCTCATTTTAATGAGGGTGTCAGAAGAGCTTTGAAAGGCAATGACATTTGAGAAGCCCCATTTTAAAACTCTACTGCAAGAACAGCTAGGGGAGCTAATCATTGGTTACTTTAGCCAACAAAAACAAACAAACATCTCCTTTCTTGCTCTTATGAAAAATATTTGAAGGCTTCCTCCCCTTCAAAACTTTGGCCAAGTTTAGTGTCCAAGGCAAAAAGGGATTCAGCTTTGAGAGCAAGACCATCGATGTGTGTGGGAGGAGGGGAGATAAAGGGAGCAGTTCCCCAGGGCCTGGAGATTGAAAGGACCCAGGGCTCTTGGTCATGGCCATGGCTACAGTGGCAGCAACAGACTGAGCCTGGGTCTCTTTAAATTGCCACATGACACATTATTAGGGTTGCCGGGTGTCCGGTATTTACCCAGACAGTTGGTTATGTCCCCCCGGTTTGGTTAAAAAACAGAAAATACCGGACATGTAAAATTTTCCCCTACCACATCTGCAAGGGCAGGGGAGTGAGAGCAGTGCAGGGCCATTTAAAGATGCAGCATGGTTTTTTTTTT